CAAAAGGATCAATAAAGAGAAGTCGAAGGTCACCTCTGAGTTTTAACAAACGTTTCTGCTCTCCTGGAGTTTGGGAGGAAAGTCAAAGTCTAACAGCGAAACATACAGGTCCATAATAAAACTCCTTCCACGGTGGATGTGAAAACACTTTAATGGTTTTGGAAAATCAAAACAACACAAAAATTCATTTAAACATAAAAAAAAAGAAGGTTTTTGCATTAATCACAACAGGGGCGAGTGCTCAGAATAAAGACACAATTGCACAATTAATTAAAATATTGTTGAAATCACAAATGGCCAAGTGGAAATATGCAAATAGGTGGAAGCTGCAATTTTTTGATAAAAGGTAAAACGTGTGAGAAAACAGGATTATAAAGAAGCACTGCAGCTCTAAAGACATCAAAGATTTTAACATCATCGTGATTTTAATAGTATTTTTCAGTAAAAATTCCCTTTGTGAGGCAAAAATGATCGTTCCCACAATAACTAAATAATAATAAATAACTTAATAACTAAACCAAAACCTGTTTCTATGGCAGACACCAGACACATCTCCAGTTCACCACATCATAACGGCATGTAGGCAATAAAGCTGTCTAACACATGTAAGTGCTGAGTGCAGTTCGAGGTCTTTTCTCTGCGTGTTTGTAAATCGATCGATCAGATATTTAAATTAAAACAACGTAGAAAAGTGTTACAGCTAAAGGTTATTATTGAACTATCTAATTATTCTTATTTTGAGTTATTTAAAGTAAAACTGGAGGTGGGCGGTATAAAAAGTATAGAAAGTGCAACAGTATGAATTTAATCTATATCACACATGTTCATGTTCAACACTGACTTTAATTACTTCAACGTGGTTTTAAAACAGACAACAAGCAGAAAACAACAAAGTAATAATTATGTGACGACGGTGGCTGAAAGAAGAGGAAATACAAACAATATCTTCTACATATTTCCACATAACTACTCTTCAAATACCCCTGTAGTGTGTGAAATATGCCCCAGTAACACAGTTAAGAGTACTTTAGCAGAGGCCTTTATATTGAAATTATAGGAAAAACAAAAACTTATAATTATTATTATTCATCAATTTATCTGTCAATTGACTTCTTAATTGTTTAATCTAAAAATATAAAATAACAGTGAACATTCACAGTCACAATATTCCAGAGACAAATATTATATTAAATATTATTTGTTCAACAAATGCAAAGATATTTAATTTACAGTTATATAAAGCTGAAAACACTGCCTCGTATTTTGAGCAGGAAACAACGAAGGTTAAGCACTTTTAAAACTTATATAAACTTAAAAACAATAAATATAAATAAATAAAACAATCAACATTTTGTCAATAGACTGACATATGTTTCAGTCGGGCAGCTCTAACATATTAATAACACATTTAAGTGGTATTAATAAATACATAATAAAAGCAGCTATATGCAGTTTAATTATTAATTTAATAAATAAAAATATATCCTTCTCATTTTCTGTTTTGACCTTGTCCACCGAGTTTTCAAAGAACTCTGACAATGATTACTCTAAGCACCAGGCTTATTAAATACCACGATTAATGATTGTAGTGAATAAAGCAGAAAAGTCACATGTTACCAGATCTTAATAAGCAACGAGCTTTACTTTGAGTAAGGAAACAAATAAACAGCTGTGTAACCGAGAGCAACAAGAAGGTTTTTATACATTCACACACTGACGGCAGTAAGAAACCAGAGCCAAACTTTCAGAAACACACAAAGTTACACAAAGTTAAACCTACAAATCGAACCCGACAGCTCGTGTTAAAGTGTTAAAGTCATAAAGTACAACGCTGAGGAAGCTGTGTCCCGATATTCTGTCATGAAACACAGTTAGTGTGGTTTTGGTTGTAATATCGTACACAGTGTACGAACTATATACTATTAAAATATTCAGTACAGGAACTTCTTTATACAATGTTCTTAACTTGTAAAGAAGAATAGTGTTTGTTTGGTAATTTAGCTGCTGTACAAGTGATCTCAGATATAAAATCATTTTACTGTAATAGAAAAATGTCCATAATTAATAATAATAATAAAGTGCACTGCCGACTGTCTGCTGAATTCCTCCTACTTAAGAAAGTAATGAGAAAGTTCATCTGCTTCAGTCTCTTATTTTAACGGATATCAACTCTATTTAATGTGTTTTCTATCGCTCCCTCTGCTACTGTCCAGCACACCAGGGAAAACATTAAAAAGCAGCACCGCCAGTTATTTTCTTTAATGACCAAGTACAACTATTATAAGTCAGCAGAGGACAAACTGAAGAGGAGTGCATCGTTTACGGACGGCAGGAGATTCTGTTACTCTGTTAAAATACGAGTAAAAATGGTCTTTTAAAGTCACTTTTAAAAACCCTGACTGTCAATAAACAACAAAGCAACTGTTACCAACACAGTTTCAAAAGAGGAGATTACTTTAACTATGACTACATCCTAAGCAGCAGAACAATACGACACTGAATGGATTAGACCACCTGAATTAACGCGGCTCCCAGTGGATGTCTAAACTTTACTGGTGCAAAATATAGAACGAATTCACAAACTTAACCCCCCCCAGAAAGCACAGACCTCCACTAACTTCCCTGCACATTACAGCAGTGAGCACAATCTCCTTGTTGGGAGGACACAGACTTTATACTTCCACATGTATTACGTTTTAAATGAAACAATAAACGCATTGAAATCACGTCTTTGTGTAGACCGAAGGTGTGCAATGTGACTTTTGGAGAAATACCTTCACACCAATCAATAAACTGAACAAACTAACCAAACAATGAAACAAGCTGAACATCGCTCCTGTCTGTATTTGTCAACCTGGAAATGACAACAGGCTGTGAATCTCTATCTAATAATCTATAACCAGTGTTCAGGTTTGTCCATTCTGGGCTACTGTAGGTGTACAACTTGTTTTCAGGTGATTATACACAAATGGAAAACACACATGAATATTATATTCCATGTCTGCCAATAGATACTCCTAAATGTCACACACTGGACCTTTTAATCCAGCTCTGAACAACACCCTTAACGAGTTTCAAGTTTCTCATGTCGGCAAATTAACATTAAACAAATATTTCCTCAAAGCGAGAAATAATCCCACTTTGAAAGCACCTGACAGTGTCGCCATTTAACCAGGCTCCTTTATTAGCATTTTATTTTAAACTCTAGTCTTAAGGTTAGGGTTTTTAATTTTAGTTTAATGTATGTTTTGTATTTTGTCTGCTATTAGATACTTGAATTTCCCTCGGGATAAATAAAGTATATCTATCTAAACAATACAATATTATCTATTTTAGCTGCTGGCAGGGTAAAATAAGAGTTAAGCGCACATTTTGAACTCCGCTGTTTCCTGATGTATGCAAATACACCGTTCAGAAAGTCAAAAACATAATAATAATAACACCACACGGCCACCGTTGAGCCCAACCTAACAGACAACAACCAACCGTCAGTTAAACCGTCAGCTCACGTCGTTAAACAACTTAAAGCTACTTACACTTCTTCAAACACTTCATCCAGTGTCGCACTATCAGGCTGTGGTACTTCTTGTTGTCGATGCACCACGTCGAAAGCCCCTGAATTGAATCCATCGTATTCGTGACACTTTGAAACTTCTTGTCTAACGCCGACTCCAGAGAGCCGCCTGACGCGACTCCCGCTCCCGCTGCCATGTCCCGAGGAGCTCGCGCCGCGCTCTACCATTCCAAACGCCAACTGAAAGTTAGCCGCGGAGCTAGCACTTAGCTTAGCTTAGCTTAGCCTAGC